TGAATTAGATCAAGCAAAAGAAGTTATGGCCGATCGAATTGGAAAAAGGAGAAGAAAAGGAAAATGCGGAGATATAAACGCATAATACCGTTTTTCGCCCAAATACCTATTACGTTTATTGAGTAAAGATTTTTTGAAATATCGATCTCTAATTTCAGATCCCTTTTCCTCTATGATTGGAATTTTTTGATCGAAAAGCTTTTTAAAAATTCTATTTTAAAGATATATCAATCTCAATTAATTCAATCCTTTTAATAATTGTCTCATTTTTCTCCAATTTCTTTTAAAATTTCTTCTTAAATTTCTTTCCAAAAATTTTTAGGTCAAAAAAATGAGTAAGCTTTGAACCTTTTTCTTCTTCTTCTTTACAAAACACCTTTAATTCCTTCTGTCCTTGTCCCCCACCCCTTTTTTAGGCTCATTTTCCTCCCGACGAGAGCCCCCTTTCCTCTTCCTTTTCCATCAACTACAACAGACCTCACTCTCGACTCTTCTCTCCTCCAACTAAAAAAATTTCTTTTACCTCTCTCAACATCGGCAAAATATTTTTATATATTTATTTTTATATATTTTTCTGGCCTTTGGCCTTTCTCTCTTTCCCAACCGGTTCCTTTAACTATTTATGTGTATTTGGATGCATTCTCGATCACTCCCTTCTTCCCTCTCAATTTTTACAACTTTTCTTCACAACTTTCGAGATTGCTCTTTTTTTCTTTTTATTTTTCTTCTTTAACGTTTTTATGGCCAAAAATATTTGAACAACGCTAATAACATTCTTTTCTTATGTAGTTAAAATGCATTTATCGCCTTTTTGTGAATCATTTTTTGGCATATAATTTTTTAAAATTATGATTGCCCTTTTTTGATGACTGTCCTCTAATATTAAAGAAATTTGTTAGAAACTTGACATTTCTGACACGAATAGGTCCAATGAACGAAAAAATTATAATCTATATCTAGGTCTTCAATCCCCATTCCCCGTTCACTCCGACGTGATTTTTAGGCCATTCACCGACCCCGATCCTAAGCAGCCTTTCATTCGACATTCCCATTCATCGAAAGTTCTATCCGAGGGATTGGGACAATTTTTTCCGAAAAGTCGGGGAAATTTATGCCTTCTACTGACGATCTGAGCGGGTATGCCGAACTGATTTTGAATAACAAAAAGACGAAAAGTGAAAAACAAATTTTAGAAGGCTAGAACCTGTACTAATTTAGCATGAAAAATTTGTCTGAGCTCTTAATTCACGCCAAATCCAAGCCTAACCAATCTCCAAAGGTAGATTTTCCCGTCTCTCTCTTTATTTTTTTATAGTTTAAAGACCATCTTCTTCAACTATTACTTTATTAATAATTTATGAGTATATTTTCTAAAAATGAGGATGTTTCTTAATTTATCTCCCCAGTCTTTAATCTTTAATTTTAGAGCTTTTACCTTTTTATTAATTATTAAAATTAATTCAATCTTTATATTTTTTTGATCAATAATACATAGCTTTGCAGTTTTTAATTTTTTATTTCCATTTTTAATTTAAACTTTCTTAGATAATACAGGGTGACAAGAAAAGTTTAGGACAAACTATTTATGGCATAACTTTATTCAAATTAAAGATATTAAGATTAAGAAAATTTATATGATGGTGAAACAACAAAGGAACAAATATAATCAAGAATTTTCGAGGTTTCCCCTCCTTGCTTGGATACAGAGTAGAAGTCGCGTGGAGAGGTCACCCTGTAGAAACTTATCATATTAGTTATTGTTCTGCCTAAATTTTAAAATAATAAATCCGAAATTATTAATAGTATGTAAATTTTAAATTAAAAAGTTATGTTTGAGAGATTTTCGAGTGCCGACATCTCCGATTTTTTGTTCTGAGATTATCTTTTATTCTAAACCAAAATATTTATAAATTATAAATATTTCTACCAAATATTATAAGATATAAATATATTTTAATTCTCTACTTTTTTTTATCAATTTACTGCTTTTAACCATCAATTTTTGTTTTACAGTTTTTATGTGTTGAGCGATTGCCCCAAATATTTCTTTCCAGCCGGAAGAGACCATGTAAAAGAGAAACACACACTTTATTACTCTTTTTATTTATTTCTAAAAATATATTTGTCGGCAACAAGTATTCTTTGTGTTTTGTGGTTTTTTCACGCACGAGAGCTGCCCAATACACCGCAAGCCTATCACGCCTTGGGACACAACTTTTTTTTTTAAAAATTAGCAACCCTCGAATGTATAGCATGGATTGGTGCTTCTAGACAGTCTGAATCTAGCTGTACTAGCCATACTCGAACCTAACTATTTTTTAACAAGTTAAACCTCCGACGGAGAGGCTTTCGGCGTAGTTTTGATGTACACGCACCATTCTTTAAAAAATTTTTTTTTGCAAAAATTCGCTACAATATTTAAATGACAGACAATTTTTGGGGGAAAATTGTTGACACATTCCTCTCTTTTTAATTTATTTAAAAACGAATAGTGAATTTTTTTTATAAAATTGTTTTAATTTGCTTTAATTTTTATCTCTCTATCGAGTAAATGACACGTTAGATTTTCTAAAAAATTGTCTAGTCTGATGTTTTATTTCTTTTTTTATAAGGGATAATTTTTAGAAATAATCAATTATTTTTAAATTTAATTCAAATAATTTTTTACTCCATACACAGCTATGCTAAAAGAAAACATAACCTGGAATATTTTCACCCAAACTAAATCAGAAAATAATTTTTAAAACCCGACCCACCACAGTTCTTTAATTTGTACTAGTCTTCATTTTAAATTTGAAATACATTCAAATTAGTTAGTATTATTTTTTAAATATTTTGTTTTTATTTTAAAGATAATTAATTTAATTTTAAATTATTAGGCGCGGACGTAATTAGTGGCCGTTTTTTAATTTGGATTCATAAAATTAAGTTTTTTGAAAATACCGATTTTTCTATTTTTATTACGAATCATTTGTTAGTGTATTTTTTAAAAGATCCCAGCGTTTGAGAATTTTTCATTAGCTATTCAGGGAGTTTTGGCCGAAAATATCAGAATTTTCGCAATCATAGGGAATCAAATTTTCTTCGGTATATGTAATGATAATATTTAGTGTAATATATCATTCGAAAGCGTTTGAAAATTTCTATCAGTAGAGCACAATGTCGTATAGGTCTAAATTTTTCAAAAAGGTTGAAATTTGAATTCCGGATTCGACACAATTTAGAGACTTTATACCTAGGATTTCTTTATTTTACTCCTTTTTTAAATCAAATTTTAGTTATTTCATTTAAACAACTTAAAAAAAATTATATTCAATTTATTTGATAATTTCTCTCTAAATTTCCTCATAAATTTTAAATTTTTCCTGATTAATTAAAGGACTGACAATTGAATAAATTTATTAAGAATAATTAATTTAATTATATCTATTTTTAACTTAAAAATAAATTTTTCTAAAATACTAGGAGTTTTTCACTCTTTTTCAATAAATTTTTTGCTCCAATTTAATGTTCATTTTTCATTTTTATGCTCCTATACCCCTAAATATATTTTTGCAACATTTAATTATTTTGATTTTTGATGTGTAAATTATTTTTAGTAAATTATTTGTATGTATTTTTCAGTTAAATATTTCAAATAAATACAATATATTTCCGGGTATATTATCTATTTAGAATTTTTCCGGAAAATAAAAACTTGGATGTATTTTTGAATGCAAACATTACCGGCTATATTCTAGAATACCGTATTTCCCAAAATAGAGCCCCATGCTAAATTGAGCCCCACCCTAAAATAGAGCCCCACTTTGGGGGATAGTTGAAAAATGAAGCCCCGTGGAGCTTTATTTTAGGAAATACTTAAATTTAATTTAGTTTCCTTCCGGAGGATATTAATAATAAATAGCCAGGAAATGTTTTCGAATATATAATATATATAAACTTTTCCGGTTACATTCCTCTAATAAAAAATACTTCAAATATTCGAATATTTCCGGGTAAAATGATAACATTATTAATTTTCTTTCCGGAAAACACAAAAACACAATTAACTTGCAGAAAACACATTTAATATCAATTAAGATAAAAATACATATATTTTATTATTTAATAAAATAAAGAATTCAATTTAAGTAAATAAATATTTTCCCTTATTTGATCAGATTACCAGAACGCACTTTTCAGTTCGCTCGGTTTTTCCTTTTATTGTTTGTTTGAGTTTTTTTAAGATTGAAGGGAAAACCGGTCTCCATAAAATATAATAAAACCTCGCAAAGTCAGACTTTTTTCTTTAGATTTTATGAGGGACGAGTAAAATTGGGAGAGAAAATAAATATTGTTTTTTATCTAAAAACGTATAAAATTTTATTGAAAACATTTAGGTAAGTGCATGTTTTAAATCGGTTGTCTAGATTTATTAACTTTAATTTATTTACCACATTTAATATCTAAGTTTTTCTATTTTTATGTATTTTTTATTTTAAATAAGTATATACTTTTACTTATAAATAAAAGTAGAAAATTATAGTTTATTAGTAGCACGTTATTTAACTTTCCTGAAAACACGAAATTGTATTTTTTACAAATTAAATATTATCTCCAGGGAAAATTAAGTATTGTATGGAAGAGAATAATTAAGCTGGCTAAAATTTAAAACGCTCACTAAGTGGGTGTTTAAGGTCTATTAAATGATAAGGTGAAAGTAGCGACCCGGTAGCTCGGTTGGTGAGCAAAAGCGCCTGGCAATGACAACCTGCCCGGGATTAAACTTTTACCACACTCTTAATGTATTTCGATTTATATTTTCCGAAAATGTGTATTTTCTGGAATTTGTATGTATTTTTTATTTTATTCTTTTAATTTTTAATTGAATTTTATTTCATTGTAAATAAATTAAAATAATTTTTTATTTTTCAAAATAGAATTAAAAAATATTTTTTATATTAAAAGATTCGACTTTTAAATTATAAATTTTTATTAATTCTATATTTTATATCAATTAATTAAATATGGTAGTTGCCCGTTCTCCCTCTGCAGCAGCTGCGGCTTCCATGGCCGATAGTTTATTTGAACGATTTGAAGTTGAATTTGATGCTGGCACACATCCTGTATTGTTTTAATGATTTTATAAATTTTTGTTGACAGAGTTCTAACATTTCATTCACAAATGGGACTGAAGGATTATAGTCTTTTTATTAATAAAGTTAAGGAGGGGCAGCTTCTTCACTCAATAGAAGGGTTGTTCCACAACGGGGAGCGGGGACGAGAAAATCTCTTAAATTTCCTGACTCGGGAACGGGAACGGGGAACAACCCTACTCAATAGACATCCAAATTTTATTCATGCCCAACTGTATTTTATTCAAAATTTTTCAGGTTTTTCATGGTGGAGAGTTAATCACCGGCTCTTTAAAAATACAACTTAAAAAAGAGGTCACGATTAACGCCATTCGTATACAATTTCGTGGAAGGGCTGTTTATCTTGATCCGAAGCATCCTACTAAGGAGGCTGCAGAAAAAGTAAAATTTTCTAAAAACAAAAATTTCTAAGAACACCCTTAAAAAATAAAAAATATTGATAAAATAATTTTCTTATCATTTCTTAACACAAAATATTAAAATAATTTTCAATCTTATCAATACTAGCTTAAAATCTTATCAAATTGTTGAAATTCCTGCTTTATAAAATATTAAATTACTGTATTCTCTCTAAATTTTATTTCATTTTAGGTCTATTTTGACAAAAACTTTATACTCTTGGAACGGCCACCGGGGCATCCCGAGCCCGGACATTTCCCTTGGAGTGCAAATTTTTTGTATTCTCTGCCTTTTGAGTAGGTTTTGTAGGATTTTTATATACAGCCAAGCAAGGGCGTATTCAGGGGGTCGGTTTCGGGGGGGGGGGGGGCTAACACTGGATGGGCGCAAAAATTTCACTTTTTCGACCATCCTTCTCCTAATTTTTTCTCCTTTTCCTCCATTTCGGGGGGAGGGGGGAGGGGGGCTCTAGCCCCCCCCCCCCAGCCCCCCCCCCTGGATACGCCCTTGCAGCCAAACCTCACTATAAGATAAATCTTGAGTTTGAAATACGTATAAATGTCTTTATTGAGATGTATATTTTAAATAAGTGGTGGTAGTATAGACAACTACTTTAGTTCAGTAGCCAAATAAATTAAAAATTATCTTAAATAGATATAGTAAAGCCCGATTGTTTACTTCAATTTACTTTTATTCAAAAAATATTTTCTCCTTAGATGTCCTTTACCAAAGGGATGTGAAACAAGCTATGAGGGACCTCATGGTTTTATTCGTTATTATGCTAGAGCTATTTTGGAGACAGCTGAGCCGGATAAGGTATTCTTTATCATTCCTATGTTTTGAAATCTATGAGTAATTTCTAGATTTTTAAGGATTATTACTAGAGTTCGAACTTTTCACTTTGCCGGGCCCGGTATCCGGGTTTTTTTCTTCCGCCCCGACCCGGGCCGGGTTTTCCGGGCTAAAACCCCGAAAACCCGGAAACCCCGAAAACCCGGTTTTTTTACACCCGGGCCCGGAAAACCCGGTCCCGGGCCCGGCCCGGGTTCGAATTCTAATTATTACCTTTAGCTTTTCCCCACTCCTAAATTGGCTCTCGATTGAGACTTGAGAGAGATGTCCTTTACCGAAGGGGTTATGAACATTAACTCAGTTATGAATATTAAGGATCTTGTCCATTTTTATTTATTAACCTAGACTTGTCTAGAGTTTATCTACCTAGGATTTATCGAGTCGGACTGTTAGATCTAAATCCTGATGATGGTTCAAATATGGACCGAGTTGTGACGAGTAAGAGAGTAAGAGAGTAACCTTAATTATGAATTTCTTATATAAATTATAAATTTTTAATTTTTCTTAAACATTATAGGCCAAATATATAGTCAAGCAATGCTTCTCAATTATTTCCTCACCAGAACTTCATCAATTAGTGCCTCCAATTTCCGATCCAATATCCGAAAAGAAAACGGTCAGATTCGGTAGTTGTTGTTGTAGAGGGAAGATGACTGCTGAAATCCTTTTGCCAAAAAGTTCATATGCACCCGGTAAATTTAAAAACTGGATTTGTCATAAAAATTATATTATATGTAGTTGCCTCAGTTATATTTTCACTCTAGTATTGTCGGATAGGAACTAAACCGAGATTTATTAGCAGAGAGAGTTTTTTTTAGGTTTTTACCTATTTTTTTTTGCGAACTAGTTATGATGAGATAAGCACAAAAAAACACTGTTTTGGGTCGAAATAATGAGTCTACATTGGACCTATTCGAACCTAAAAAACCTATTACGGCCTTTTTGGACCTAAAACCTATTTGCGACCTATTTTGGACTTTTTTGAACATATTCTAGGTTTTTTGAAGAAAATCATAAAAATCGCCCTTATTTTTGTAAAATTTGCATAAAATTTTTAAAAAATAGTGAATGTTATACTGTTAAAGTCATATTCACGCAAATTCCGTGCTCTTCTTCTTGTCAAAAGGAGCAAAAAAGCATATAGTATTGAAAAACCTTAACCAAAACCCCATAAATTGTCAAAAAGAGTAAAATACTTAACTTTTGAAAGGGAATATTAAAAGATTCTATTTTACAAATCGTCTCGTTGAAAGAACTCGCCGAGTTGAGACAAATGACAATAAAATCAACGTGATTTGACTTTATAAGGCCGAGTTACAGGTCCCTGAAAATCGAAAAAACATAGGGGTGTATGCCATCTTTGGGGTGAAAAAATCGATTTTCGAATGATAGCTCATTCGAAAGAGCTGCTTGAGTAGAGTCGAATGACACCAAAATCAGCACATTCTGACTTGGCAGGCCCGAATTACAGGCTTGTAAATATTGAAAAATCATAAATTGAAAACACAAAATCGGAAAAACTCTAAAAATTCGAACCTATTTGTTAAAAATTCGTACCTATTTTGCCACTTTTTGCATTTTTTTCAACCTATTTAAGCCTTTTTTTCGAACCTTTTAGGTACCTATTACCAGGTTTTTTGAACCTAAAAAAACTCTCTCTGCTTATTAGATTCGGTTCCAGATATCCGAAGTTTTTCCAAGAACCGACAACCCTACTGATACACCTCAATTTAGGATAGTGATATCCCAAGTTAAAAGTCCTTTATTATAAATTACAATTTTTTAGACGTATAAGACTGTCTGTATTTTAAAATAAATTTTTAAAATAAAAATTTATAGGAGAGGATGTTATTGGCAATTTTACAATGGATTCTTCTACAGCCAAAAATGCTCTTGAACATGTAATTTTAAAAAAATTTTTTAAAATTAATATTTGGGAAGAATAGAGAGAATTAGATAAATTATTTCCTCTATTTTTTGCTTATTTTTTAGATCGAAGTCCGCCTCATTGATCGCCTACAACGTATTACCTCAGATTTGGAGCCTATCAAAGAGGCTACCCCAACAGTAACGTAAGCATAGAGAATTTATAAAATTTGGGTGAAAAATTAAATTTAAGTGAGCCAGTTAATGGAGTTGAAGCAAAAACAGGAAAAAAGTTGAAGAACAAGCAAAAACAGAAAAATGGAACAAACGATAATTCTGCTAATAAAGCTGATGATCAACAACAAAAGGAAGGTAAAAAAAAATTTTTTTAAATTTTTTTCAAACAATTGAAAGGCTTTTTCCCCCTAATATTTTTCAAAATTAAGAAACAAAAAAACAAAAGAAATCCAATTCAATACCAACAACAAAACCCTCTCCATCAACAACAAATTCATTTGAAAGACACCGAGTTGTCTTTGGAAGAAGATTAGTTAAGGAAGATTTTAAGGGGGAAACAACACCTGAACGAAGAAATAGTGGGGAAAATAAAAATGTTATTACAAAAACTAATGTTCATTTTTTGCGAATACCTGCAATTATTTCTACAACACAACGTAATTTTAATTAGTAATAATCAGTGCTGTGTATGGCTCCGGAGCTAGCTCCGGAGTCCACCTCTTGATCCGGAGCCAAGATTTTAAAAGCTCGGAGCCGGAGCCAACAAATGCCCAATACCCAGCACTGATAATAATTCTGATTTAAATAATTTCTGATTTTTTCTAGAAAAATTTATTGTTTCTTTACAGTAAATGATCAACAACAACAACAATCAGCTTCACAATTTGACGAACTTGTAGACGGTGTCGATGCAGAAAATGGGCAATTCCATCGGTTGTTAGAGTCACCTTCTACAGCCACTCTCAGAGCGCGTAGAGAACCTTTTCTACGTGTAGATTATGCATTACAGGTGAAATAAAATTTTTGATAAAAAAACAGTCGTCACTTATAATGAGATGATCTTAAATTGTTGTATTTAGTACATCGAACCCCGTTTTTAGATCCCTTTATATTCCTCGACCGGGTGGTGGCATGGTAATTGTTTAAGCAATATCCACAATTTAAGATACCGTATTTTTTCGATTAATTCTCCTTGGGAATTAATTTTTCAACCCATCCTTGGGATGGAAGATTATTTCAAGGGTGAGGAATTATCCGAGAAAATACAGTAATTTAACTGTAAGGGGTACTGTGGTGTTGTGTCTCATATTAAGGTCTACCAATTTTAATTATTTATACAATTAACTAAAACAATTTAAAAAATTTCTAAAATCAATTTATATTTTAATTTAGACTGTATAATTTTCAGATTTATTTGGGAACTCATGTGCTCGTCGAAATACCTATTCAAGTCCATCCAATTCCCATCTATGCAAAAGGCATTTATTAAAAGAATATTTTTCTGAATTTTATTTTTAAAGGTATTGGCTTCCAACCCTTTGCTGGAGGTGCACAATCCGTTGCCGAATCAGACGAATCCTCTTATATACCTTACAAAGGCCCTTTCACCTTCGCTCCTTTATATCCCGTTTACCTCGAGCCCCCCAAAAATCTTATAGTAGCAGAAGAAACAATATTAACCCCAATTTCTGAACCAGCTATTAAAACAACCACAAATGTAAAATCACAACATCCAAAGCAGTCTATTAATGGAGGGATAAAAAGAGAAGAATTACAACAACAACCTTTCATAGTTGTTACCTCAACATCAACAACTAAAGAGGAAAACACAAAAAAGACAATTACAACATTTCCGGAAACAACTACTACCACAACAACAATAACAGAGGAAAGAACAATAACAAAAGAAGAGGGAGAAAATAAAATAATTACAGAAGAAATATTTTCCGGAAAAAATAATTTTCCGGAAGTTTTAGAATTAAATAAAGGAGAAAGCGAAATAAAAGAAAAACCGTTAGAAAAAATTATTATTAAAGAGGAAAAGCCTGAAACAATAATTATTGAGGAACAGGAACAATTACCTAATGGGGGCACTAAAACTACAAAAATTGAAGAAACGAGCTTGCAACAAAATGGGGATGAATCTGATGAAGTATTGCGTAAAAGTGTTGTGGAAACAGAAGCTTACGAAATAAATAATGATGTTGGTTTGAAAATATGTATATTATAAAATACACAATAAAATGACTCCGGTTGACCACAATAAAATAAATTTACGGAAAGTACAGCAAAAATTATTATTTTCCGGAATATATTTCAGTAAGAGAAACTATTATGTGTTAACTCTAATTATTGTCTTCAGGAAATAATACGAAACATTGTTTTCTGGAAGTATTATAATTAGGGGTGCAGTTTTCGAGTCGGGCCGACGTTCGAGTCATTTTTTACGGGCCTCATTTTTATCGAGTCGGGCATCGAGTCTTTTTCGGGCCAAAATCCGTTGCCCGACTCGATCTTTCGGACCGGGCAGGAAACCCTAATCATAATATTAAAGTAACAAAAATTAGGAAAGTTCCTGAAAGATACCTAAATATTTCCAAAAAATAACCCTTAAAATTTGGATAATATCTTAATAATTTAAGGACGGTTCAACAGTAAGTGTGCAAAAAACAACAACTACAACAACTGAATTAACGACAACAACCCCAACTGTTGTTATCAATGGAGAACATTATAATGATATAAACAACGATCAACAAAACGTGGTTGATGAACAAGAAAACAAAAATACTAAAAACAAAGAGAATAACAGTAATGGAATACTTGACAATCAACAGATGGATGTTTCTATGAGTGGATGATAAATAAATTTATTTTGGATTTTTTAAAGCGAGAATATGCCTAAATTTAGGACAACAATATTTTATAAGAATATATTCAATCATTTTATGAAATACGAAAAAAATACAGTCGAAACTTGATCCTCAGAATTAACTTTTTGGACACAAAATTATTTTTATTATTATTTAATGCCCAATTACATACTTGGGAACAGTGCTGGGTATTGCTCCGGGATCTAGCTTCACTTCCAACGGAGCGAGCTGAGATTTTAAAAGCCTGGAGCTGGAGCAACAAATGTCAATACCCAGCATTTCTTAGGAACATAGCTTCTTCGTCCACCGATTTTTGTCCACGATTTTCGACGATTATTTTTTTTCCGGGAAATATATACATAAATTAGAGTTTTGACAGAACTACTACTATATTAATTTTGTATTTTTTTAGTAAAAAGATTTTCTTGTTTTGTTTCTTATATTTAAATTAAGGAAATATTTGAGAATAACACGTCTCGACTGTATAGCATTTTTTACCATATACACATTCTTAGATAGAGGGACTGGATTTTTTCTAGACATCTTAGAAATAATTTTTACTTCACAAATAAAAAAACTTGAAATTATTTATCCTTAACTTCTGATTTAATTTTTAAAAAATAAACAAATTATTGAAGATCCAGTCTCCTAAACATAATTTTTCATATATATTTTCACACAAAATTTTTTTCAAAGTCCAAAGAATTGCCAACATTGAAAAATTAAAAAAATATTAATTATGTAGATGTGTGATAAGTACATAAGACCCCCATCATACATATATAATTATTGTTGTTCGAGCATTGAATAAATATAAAAAAAAATTTTTTAAATTGGGAAATCAACCTCAATGACGTTTAGGCATTTAAATGTGGGGAAGGATTGTTAGTAAGGTTGTCGGATAGTTGGAAATCTTCGGATATTCGGATCCGGCAATCTTAATTGTTTGGCTGTTCAAGGGAATTTTATGGGTGTAGAAAGTTTTGGTTTAAATCGAAGTGAAGGACCTGATTTGAACTTTATATTTTTCGTTTATATTGTTTTCATGTGTCATGACATTTTACCGTAAGTCTGAAAACCTTCAGCATTAATTTAACAAAAATTAGTTTATTTGTAGTGTAAATGGTTGGAATGTAATTGGTTGTTAGATAAATAATGAGCCCTTTGCAATATAGTTTCACGCTATCTATACAATTTTTTATTACATACTTTAATATTTATTTCATTTAAAAAATGTAAATTACACGAAGGCAACTCTATGTTTCTGCCGATATTAAATATTTAATTATATTTTTTAGAAATTGGTAAAAAATCAATTAAAATGAATTTAAATAATAATTTATCTGCATCATTATCAGCATATCTACAAAATGGAGATATTTGTAATTATTTAGATATAGAAGCAGGGAAAGTTGTCTCTAATAATTTTCACGATAAATTAAATTTATTAGATTCTTTAAATAATAAAACAATTTTTGATTTTTTATTTATAAATATAAATCACCAATTAATTGTTGCTGAATGTACATATAAATATTATTTAAATATATATGTAAATTATTATTTTTATTAAAAAATAAAAATTATTTTTAAAATTTCAGCTTGCTCAGTATAATAAAAATTATCAAAATTTACTTGATAAGGGAACGTGGAGTATAAAATTTCCTTTTATTGCTCTTCCAGCTGTTTTTGCAATTATATCTATTTTATTAAATAATAGTTTAATACTTGTCTCTCTCAAAAAATTAAAAGTAAAAGAAAATATTCTATTAAATTAATTATTAAACTTTAAAAGAATTACATATATGTAAAATAAATTTATATTCTGAATTAACTTTTATTTTGATTGAATTTCAGAAATTATTTAGAGGAATAATTTAAACTAAACAAAAATTAGGTATAACTATTAGAGATCGAGATTTTTGAAAATCCTGGACTCTGGGTTTGTTTCTTGATCTGGACTGGATTCTGGGCCTGTAGTCCAGGAAAAACCCAGGAAGGTCAAAAAATGCTTGGATCTGGACACTGGGTACAGGAAAAACCAGGCCTTGGTCCAGGTCCATCTCGTTCTCTAATAACTATGCTATACTCTGTCCCAAAATTTTTCGAAGTATCTGGATCTCGACATTAAAGTGAGATATGGGTCTAATTCCTTTTTATATTTTCTTAGTAACAATGGATATGCTTCTCAAATTTTTGTAGATTTTTCCAAGTGTTAGTAACTTGAAAATCCAAAGTGCGTTCATAATTATGGGACACCCCTTTTCGAAAATTTTTTAAAAATTTGAATAAAAATACAGACCTCATGTAACATTAACAATATTATTATATATCCCTAAGCCTGCAATCATTACACGAAAAGTTAGGAAAAAATTAAGTAGATTTTAAGTGTAAAATTCGAAAAATATGTGGGCGTTTATAATTTTGGGACAGTGTATGTTTACCGCAATTAGTACATATTAATTAAAATATGGGTTTAAAAAATTTTTTTATTCATATTTATTTTATTATTTCAGTCCAATTTATTACTTCCATTTGATTCTTTTTGTCAAATATTTGCCCTAGCTCCTCCATTTATTATTAATTTTGTTTGTTTCTTGTTTGGTATTACAACAATTAATTATAAAATATGTTTTTGGATATCTTTAATATCAACTATTGGGTCTTATTCTTCTTTTTTGGCTATTTTCTTTCTTTCTCTTGAAAGAATGTTGATTGTTTTATTTCCTTTAAGGTTCATTTTTTGTGAAATGGCAAAACATGGAAACAAGTTTTAATAAATATAGTTAACTGATACTCATTTATGGCATAATTTTATTCAAATTTAGTGACCAACTTTAGTTCGTTATTTAATTGTCTTAGTCGCTCCTCATCTTTAGAGGAGCGATATTGTGGGCCAATTATTGATATGTTTTTTTACAAAATTTACACCATTTTGGGAGGATTCTGAGCAAATTTTTTGTTATTTTCCCAATGACATTAAGATATGCATTAGAATATGCATTATGCAGCAAAGTCCGAAATATATTAATTCCTGCAATCCATTCCAATGTTATGGGCAAAATGTCCCAAAAAAAGTTGCGACCTTGAGCAATAATTTTCTCACCTTCCTTTAACCTTATCTCAAAGTAGAATAGGGAAAATTCTAAAAGATTTTTATATTTTATTCTCCATTTAGTTCTTATAATTTCATCTTTTTTTATTTCATTATCTTAATTTTTAATAAAGTTATGGCATAAAAAGTGTGTCCTAAACTTTAATGGTCACCCTGTATATGCAAATAGAAACCCCTCTAAAGTTTTAAAAGCACGCTGAAACTGTTTTTTTTGCATTATGGCTTTATATATTAATAATAGCTGAATTTATTTTAACAGAATTGTTGTGGTGTGGTGGCTACTATAAAAGCCTCACACAATTGTCAGTCCGTGTCTCCTAATTGTCTCCAATATTATCCCAACCTTATTCTATTGTACTTCAACATTATTGTTATTTCTTGTGTGTGATAAACACATTATTGTATTGTGTATTTCTTGTTGTGCAGAGACACAACAAATTTGGCGCGGTCGTAAACGGATTCAATTGTAAATTGTATTGAAGAAAACAAATCAGAATGAAAGCGGAAGACATTCAAAAACTCCTTGAACAACAACAAATGAAATTCAATCAACAGCAAAAGGAACTTCAGGAACACCAAAACCAACAATTGTTACTGCAGCAGAAACAGATTGCAGAATTGTTGAGTAAATTGGGCAATAGGCCAAATATTGAAAGTGCTACATCGCTTCAACAAGAAGGATCAGCGCTATACGGTAAATTGCACAAATTGATTTCTGAGTTCCATTGTGATATTCCACGGGCATTCACGTTCGAAACGTGGTATGATAAGTACAAATCATACATTGAAATTGAGGGGGCCACATTGAGTGATGAATTGAAAGCTAGATTGCTTATTTCGAAATTGGGTGGCCCCGAATATTCTAAAATTGCCCAAAAATTATTGCCACGAAAATTATCAGACCTGAAATTTGGGGAATTGATAAAAGAATTGAAAGAGGAGTTTGGGGACCCGAGGTCCAAATTGTTAAAGCGTTTCGATACGCTGAAATTGAAATGTAATAAATTTGAAAATATATTGCAATTTGGAAATCTCGTAAATGCCGAATGCGAAAAGTCAGAAATGAATTTGACTATTGAAGAAATGAAAATATTGATTTTTATTGTAGGTCTTCCTGACTCTGCAATTGAATTGAAACAAAATTGCATTCGGATGGTTGAAAATAAATCAAAGAAAAAAGAAGATTGTAAATTCAAGGAATTGTTAGAAGATTGTCGAGCATTCTTGTCTACAAAAAAAGAAGTCAAATTGTTGTATGAACCTAAACAGGTCAGTAAAATTGAATTGGGTTCACCACCGGAAATAAATATTATTCAGGAACCCAAATTGCAACAACAAAGTATTGAAAAATCGAAAAGTATTGAAAACAAGAATTGCTATTATCCACCAAAAAGGCCATATTGTAATTATTGTAAAAAAGAAGGACATTGGACTTCTTATTGTTATTTTGCTGGTAAGCGTAAATTGTCAACTAGAGTGAATAATGTAAAAATTGGTTTAGATAAGAGCAATGATGGTCCTTATTGTATATTGTTGGATATTGAAGATAATGAAGTGCTGCAAAAACAAAATTGGATTGTCCAAAAATTGAAAATAAATGGAAATTCGTTAAACATGATTATTGATACAGCCGCGCAAATTCAATTTGCCTTCCACGACATGGCAATCCAATAATTCTTCTTTGTCATTACACTCAATTTTTGCTGCAAATTTCCCTTCAATTTTAAATTTTGATTGGCCCATCGCAATTGGCCCATCGAACCTAAACAGGTCAGTAAAATTGAATTGGGTTCACCACCGGAAATAAATATTATTCAGGAACCCAAATTGCAACAACAAAGTATTGAAAAATCGAAAAGTATTGAAAACAAGAATTGCTATTATCCACCAAAAAGGCCATATTGTAATTATTGTAAAAAATAAGGACATTGGACTTCTTATTGTTATTTTGCTGGTAAGCGTAAATTGTCACCTTGAGTGAATAATGTAAAAATTGGTTTAGATAAGAGCAATGATGGTCCTTATTGTATATTGTTGGATATTGAAGATAATGAAGACTGCAAAAACAAAATTGGATTGTCCAAAAATTGAAAATAAATGGAAATTCGTTAAACATGATTATTGATACAGCCGCGCAAATTTCAATTATTTCAAAGGAAACGTGGTCACAAATTGGTGAACCGAAATTGGAAGAAGTTTCCTATAATGGAATTGCGATGGGCCAATCAAAATTTAAAATTGAAGGGA